TCCACTCTCAAAAGTTTTTTTTTCCTATCGTTTAGTTGGAATTTCTTCTATTTAAATCCTTTACTCCATGTTGTGCATTCCAAAGACAAGAAAGTAAGTCTTGACCTCTCGTGTAACAACTTTTCAGATATTTGAGAAGTGCTACCATTTGCTCCCTCAATCTTCTCAAATTCCATGTGTCAATTCCTTTCCTCCCAATACCCGGGCTTCCAGAACTGTTCCTCAGAGCTATCCCCCATTTTCTGAGCACCAGAAAACCATATGGATATAAAAAATTTTCTCCCCACTGCCAATACCTTTCCTACATGAGACTGATGAATTTCAAGGGTTTTGTTTTGCTCTCCTCCTACCAAAGGTCACCATTGGCAGAAGTCCTATTACTCAGAATAAAAAAGTTGGAAGGGATCTTGAAGGTCTTCTAGCCCAACCCTCTGCTCCAACAGGAGATCCTGTACCATTCCAGAGAAGTGGATATCCAGTCTCTTCTTAAAAGCCCCCAGTGATGGAGCACTGTTCTTAGTGTGGGATGGAGTTAGGACTGAGGAGAATGTGGGCTTTAAAGGATAGATATAGACTGGCAAGTTTATTTTAGACGTATGTCAAAACTTCTGTGGGAGTTTTGCCCAATTAACCAAGGGGGGAGGGGGCTGCCTGCACTAACCTAAAATAGGAGTGAGGCTGACCTATATGTTAGGAGTCACCAGATGGCCACACCAACAGAATACCTGGGAAAGTGGGATAAAAAGGAAAATGCTATTTTAAGACCAGAACAGCTGAACGTATCTTAAATTTGCCTCAGGTATGTGCTGAGCATCAGAGGAAGGCAACACCATGAGGGCAAAGGCAATGAAAAAAAGCTTTTGAGTATTTGTTTCAGGGTTACATGAAGAAATAGTCTTCTGGACAACATTCTGTGTTTCTGTTTCTTAGAATCTTTTAAAAATGTGGACCCTTGAACTGGATACAGAGAAGCAGAATAAGTGGAATAATTATTTCCAATTGTAGGGGAGTGTAGCACTGCTCTTAGCACCCTAGATGACAATTTCTATCAACTGTAATCTGCATGGCCAGTAATAAGGATTATTGCAGTTGTAGTCCAAAACTGCTGAAGTACTAGGTTGTCTAACTCTGTAATATCTTAGTCACATTGTTTACCATAGCATGCTATGTATGGGTCGGTGGAGAGAGGAGCAGTCAGAAATTTATGAAGAAATAAGTCTTCTCAAACTTGAATAAAGGTAGTCCTCGACTTATGACCAATATTGAGCCCAAAATTTATGTTGTTAAGTGAGTCATTTGCTAAGTGAGTTTTGCCCTGTTTTACAACTTTTCTTGCCAGAGTTGTTAAGTGAATCACTGCAGTCGATACCAGTAACCTGGTTGTTAAGTGAATCTGGTGTCAGGATGCCGGCAGTTACTCCAATTAAATCATGAGCCTTGAGCCACACTTCCAGAACTAAAAAAGATTTATTTGAAGGTAACATTCTATGTCTGATATTTACCTGGGTGTAGTCAACTCTGAGATACATAATTCACTGTCACCCTTGATCCTGCTTTCCCCCCACCCCTCTGGGTATATCATCCAATGAAAAACGTCCATAGCTAAGAGTCATCAAACATGCTCTCCAATTAGATTTTTGCACCAGCAGAAGCTTCAGTCATCTAATCAATCTTTGAAGAAAATATGAATGGAATGTACTTTCGATTCCACACTGCCGCTGGCTCTTTGAAACTCCCCTCCTTCTTTCTGTTGTCAACTATAAAATGTGTGTACAAAATGTTTTATGAGTTGACATCTGGCTTCCCTGTTGATCTTGCTTGTCAGAAGATTGCAAAAGGGGGCCACATGACCCCGGGATACAGCAAAGGTCATAAGTATGAACCAGTTGGTAAGCATCTGAATTCTGATCACATGACCACGGGGATGCTGCAAAAGTTGTAACTCTGCAAAACAATCACAAGTCACCTTTTTTCAGTGCCGTTGTAACTTTGACTAAAGTCACTAAACGAACTCTTGTAAGTCAAGGACTACCTGTACTCAGTGAGCAAAGGCTCAGGACAACCCTGCGTGTGAGACTTCTTCTCAATAGAGGACTACGGAGTTCATCACACAGTAGTTAAAAATGTAGGTGGACTGAAAACAATTCTTCCAAAGATGGTTAGACCGATAAGGAAAGCCAGCACAGATCCTTTGGCTAACACTTTATTTCCCAAGCAGTGTATCCTTTATAGCGTTGTCTCCTCCTCCAGTGCTAGGCTTCCAGCAAAAATAATCCTCATTTTGGCATGAAAATAGTGTTTTCATTCAAGTCATGGGCTATTTTGTTTGAAAACTTCACTTGTGAACTGGTTTTGCATGTTCTTACATGCAGTCTTGCAGAAGCCATGCAGGGAAGATCTGTACTAGAATCCCTGAGTCCTCACATTCTAGCCATTATTTGACCTCTCCAATCCAATGTGATTTCCCAGGGTTTTCTACTGCAGGGGTACCCAAACCTGGCAACTTTAAGACTTGTGGACTTCAACTCCAGCGTAACTGGCTGGAGAATTCTGGGAGTTGAAGTTCACAAGTCTTAATGTTGCTACATCTGGAGATCTTTGTTCTACAGGGTTGAGAGAGGAGGGAGGAGAGACAGGGAATTATGAATCTGGCATCGTCGGATTGACCATCAGGAGACCTGTTTTGGTGAGAAATCCAGGTGTGAAACCATGTAAGTAACAAGAAATGGCATCTGGGTTTTGTCTCTTAGCATACCAATGATACCTCACCCCATGATGACAGATGAGCTCGCCCACTGGCCTCATGTAGATGTTAAAGAGGAGAGGGGAGAGCACTGTACTCTGAGGCACCCCACATAATAGAGGCTGAGGATGGGACTCTCCTACCATTCATCACCAACTGGAATCTGTTCTGAAGATACTAGCCAGCAAAAGATTGTATCGCCCATCCCCAGTCCTCTAAATTGGTCTAGATGGGTACCATGGTTGATAGTGTGAAAAGCCACCAAGAGGTCAAGTAAGGCAAGGATGGATGCACAGTCCTACCTCATTCACGGGAATCCAAAAGCATAACGAATGCCATTTCCACCTCACATCTGGAAAAAGAACCAAATAATCTACTTCCTCCAGGTCCCTCTGAAGTGATTGCGTTACCACCTTCTCTTCCAACTTCCACTAGAATAGTAGGTGAGATTGTTCAGTATGGAAGGATACAGTGAGGTTTTCTTGAGGAAGGAACAAACCAAGGCCTCCTTAGGAGGTAAAGGAACAACCTCCACCCCACTCAAAGAAGAATTGCTAGAATCCACTCACATTAATACACACACACACACACACACAGAGCCACGTCAACAAGCCAGGAGAAATCCAAAGAGTAGGGGGCTGAGCCCACAGTTCTGAGGACTTTGTCCACTTTTTCAGGTTCAACAGGTTCAAACAGTTCCCAAATAACTGGGCAAGTCACACTTGACTCAACCCACACATCTCTTCTGGGCCTTTGACAAGCGCAGTGTCCATTCTGGAATGAATCTGAGTGACTCTATCCAACAGAAGGTGTGCAAATTCCTCTGCACATCTCTGGAAGAGGTTCTCCATACCCTCTTTAACCAAGAGGGGCCATATCAATCAAAACAGGACTGTGGAGCAGCAATTTGAGGATGTAATGAGGTTGGAGAAGTAGGCCTTAATCGTGGCTCTAATCTAGGTTTGGTTGGATTTGCCCTTTGTTGAATGCCAGCAAGGCTCTAGGTGCCTCCTCTTCTGTTTCATCTCACCCAATGCTTCCATTCCCTATAGGGAGTGTCAGACGAGAGAGCATAAGCACAATTCTGTCCAAGTCCTCAGCTATCTCCTTATCCCAAGTGGCAACCAAGGTTTCCAAGGTCTGTGCAACAGACCAACATGGACAACTACTCCCAGTGCCTCTGAGACCTTCCCAAATCCAGTAGTCGCCAGGGGTAAACCACTCTAATAGGGTCCAGCCTCCCTGAAGTGGATAGTGGCTTTAAAGAATCCCATAGAAATCAGGCATGATCCAACCATGACAAGGGTTGGAAAGATCCCCCAATTTTCAATCACATTGCCACTGCTCTTGACAGGAACATCAAAACTGGGGAGTGACCAGTGTCCTGAGATGGGCTCTGGATGGTGTGGATTCTCAGCTGTCATGGAAGCCATGAACTCCCAAGCCACTTCAGAGCCTAGTCCAGAGGTGGGTATTCAGCAGGTTCTGACCAGGTTCTGGAGAACCGGTAGCGGAAATTTTGAGTAGTTCTGAGAACAGCAAATCCCACCTCTGACTGGAGATTTTACAGTCTCCTTCCCCTGCCACGCCCACCAAGCCATGCCCACAGAACCGGTAGTAAACAAATTTGAATCCCACCACTGGCAGAGTAAGGCAGAGTAAAATCCTCCAGAACCATAAGCGTTCTGGGGGAACTCTACAGCCAGCCCAGAAACGGAGTCAAGGAATCCGGATAGAGAAGTTGCTATTTATGCAGCAGGAAGTAACAATCCCAACAGAGGTGGGTATTCAGCAGGTTCTGACCAGTTCTGAAGAACCGGGAGTGGAAATTTTAAGCAGTTCGGAGACCCTCTAACTGGCCTCCACACACTCATCTATTCTCTGCCTCCCGAGTCCCAGCTGATTGGCTGGCTCTTCTTTTGTTGCCCTGCACAGGAGAACCCTGGTTTCCATCAAGGGGGTGGGGGAAAGAAAAAAGGTAACCCTGTCTAGAAGGCTGGGCGATTTCCACCTTGCGAGAAGGCAGAACTCTTTTCGTCCGCGGCTGAGAAACAGCCCGGAAAGAAGCCACCGCTGGCTGAGCGGGCTGGCAAAAGAGCGCCGGCGTGCCAGAGGCTTCCATTGACGACAAAATCTCTGGGCCGCCCCTTGACTTTTCCTTAGCCAACCAGGCCGCCACTTTGGGTCGAGCCTCCTTCAAGCCTTCCCCTGTTTTTACTGTGATAACCTCCCCGGCGGTCATGTGATGGGGATATAGTACTACGCGAGGAGAGCTAAAGGACACATCACCCTCTGGATTGCTGGTCGCGCGTCGGAACTCCCTTCGCCTGTTGGCGATCGCCAGGGACGACGTTTGCCATCCTGTCAATCTTCTCGAGGGAAACGTTGGTTTTTTGTTTTTTAAATAGCTGCATCTTTTCCCCTCATTTTTCCCCCCTTAAATGCCAGGAGGAGTGGCTGCCGGTCGGGATCTTTTTTTCTCCGTTGGTTTGGGGTTAATTTAAAGTTTGGCGGGGTGTTTCTTTCCCTCCCAGCTAACAGACTCACCCGCATTCCGGGAGTTGAGGAAACAGAGAAAGTTCAGGTAAGAAGGGATCCCGCCTCTTCACGCAATGGGAGGGCGCGACTGGAGAGAGAGGACGGGGCCGGTGGGGTGGCGGGGAAGAAGAAGAAGAACCCGCGAGGGAGAAGAGGAGGAGGAGGAGGAGGAGGAGGAGGAGGAAGAAGAAGAAGAAGAAGAAGAAGAAGAAGAAGAAGAAGAAGAAGAAAGAAAGAAAGAAAGAAAGAAAGAAAGAAAGAAAGAAAGAGAAGCGCGCGGCTGTTAGTGAAGGAATCCGACCCGCGTGCGTGTGTCCTTGTGTGTGTGTGAGAGAACACACTGTGTGCAAGCCGCGTTGCGCGGGAAGGGAACGTGCTGCTCGCAGATCTCCCGGGTCGCTGGAGAGGAGTGGGGCCGGTCGGGTAGTCAGCCTGTGGGGTGGGGTGGGGTGGACTCTGGTTTTCGGGATGCTAAACAAGTGGACGGAAGAAGGACGGGCGAAAATCCGCCTTTGCTCCGGGACATGGAGGCCAAGGCGGCGTTCTCTGGGCGCGAAGTTGTTTGTCATAAAGGACGGGGACTGGGAGGAGGGAGGGTGGGTGGGTGGGAGAGATGACGGAGGAGCCCCCTTCTGCCCGGCTTTGAAGGACCGCGATCCGGCGTCTAAAGGCGCCGGTGGCTCTCCGATCGATCGGAGCGCCCAAGTTCCGAAGAACGAGCAAAAAAAAAAAAAAAAGGCGATTTCCCAGAGCTTTGCTAGAGAAAACTCGTTTTCGTCAGGCGGCCGTAAACTCTGGGAGTCGCTGTGCCGGTGCGGTGACTGTCGCCTCCCCTTCGGCAGCAAATAAACAGGCAGGTACTTTTCCATTTCTTCTGTTAACCCAGGACGTGAGAAGGCCGCTTTTCAATGCCACCTGACAAGCTCCCAGATCTGCCACTTGTACCATTGTGTGCAAATGCTCCCAGGCCTTTTGGTTCCCTTTTTGGATTTAAAAGCCGCTCAGAAGAGCTGGGCTGCTGTCTTTTATTTTTTTTTCTCTCCCCACAACCCCCCCTCCTTTCAATATCCCCTGTGGGGCTACAGAAACGCAGGCTGCAGGCAGCGTGCATGAGCCCAGCAGGGAGAAATTAATTGGTGCTTTTGGTAACTGCTGAATATGGAAGCCATATGAAGGTGTTTGACTACATCTCCCATCATTTCTGCCAACACAGGACTGCTGGGGGTTGAAAATGATGGGAAGTGAAGATATCTGTTGGGTGTCTTTGAGGAAGGCTGGCCCATGCCAACCATTAAACCCTAGAAATTGCTGGATTAAGTCTTAAGAAGCAGCTAACTAGTTGTGACATTGCAGTGTTTAAATGGATGGATTTGTAGCAATGATAGAATTATATGGAAAGTCTCTTGGATAAGACCTGCTATGGGATTTGAAATTTTCCAATCTGCCATCAGCATTGTTCACTTGCCCCAGAAAAATCCTTCTTTTTGGGGACCTAATAATAGAATTCTAATTGTTAGAGTTATCTCTTTCCCATAGGGTATACCCCAAATCCTGTCTGAGGACTGGGTATATCCGATAACCCAAAGTTATTCCCCAAAGAGTCTTTTTTTTTGGGGGGGTGGTGGACAAATTTTTGGGAGAAAGTATAGGATTGTTTCCTGTTTGGAAGCTGTTTATTTCATGTGTGTGTGTATGTGTGAAAGAGAAAGCTGTATATACTATACAATGCCATCTGAAAACCACCCATTTATTTTTCCTCATGTCAGTGAGACAGCTTTCAAGAATGTAGGGGAAAACCCAACTCCTATTATTTTTCACAAATATTGCCAAGGCAAAGATTCATTTCTGTCCCTCTCTCCGTTGATCTTCTCCAGTCTTGTCCTGCTACATACAGTTTGTATCTTTACCCTGGCCGGTATGGCCATTGGCCGAAGCTTGGGCTGAGATATAATCCGCATATTCAGAGGGCAGCAGTTTGGAGAAGGTCTCGTTGCACCTGACCGGAGAGCACTCAAGGTGTTCTTCTGAACTGCAGGGAGATTTCCCTTCGTTCCTTGCAACATATTTTGCTGTGGAAACTTTGTGGCTTACATCATTTTTACCTTTGGAGATGAGGCGATGTTTCCAATGGCTGCGGCAGAAATATTTCGTATTTTTTTCCAGCAGAATTTGTGTGTGTGTGTGTGTGTGTGTGTATTGGACTCCTTTTGGAAGGTAATGGTGAGGAAGTAACCTAGAGCAAGAACAGGAGGAGGCAGCTGCATGTTCTGTTCTGTTCTGGCTGTTGTGATAATGCTGAAAAAGAGAGAGTGGGGGGAGGGAGAGGGAGAGAGAGAGAGAAATGGCTGCTGGGTTACTTTCGGTCATTCCAAACTTCAGAGTCCAAAGGAAGGGAGTGCGGAAGAGAGAATAGCACCAGGGAAACTGAGTTTCTTTAATTCCATGCTATGTAAAGCTGAGGGAGGGGTTTAAAAACATTTGCCTAAACTGCAACGTAATTTCATACAGCTGTCACTTCCATCTCTTCTCCCCCCACCCCACCCCCCACCACTTCAATGAATCTCTGAGCTCTCCTCCCTCCTCCCTGAGCTGGATAGAGGAGCATATAGATAGACAGATTCGGGACTGCATGCATGTGTGAACTGCATGAATGACCGAAGCTCAGGTAGTTTGGCCAGAGCTGCAGATTAAAGCTTATCAAAATGTTGGTACCGTAAAGCAAAATCTTCAGCAAAGAATAAAGGGACGGATATATTTTCAAGCCAAATAACTTCAGGCAAAGAAAGGGATCTCAGTCCCTTCTCAGCCGTGTTTCGTTTTTAGCAGAGGTATAGATAAAGCTAGGAAATCCTGAAAACTATAGAACAGGCTTGACAACTGCTCTGCACTTGAATCCCTGTGTCCTAATGGCTCCTTTGCTTTAAGAATCAGCACTCCTACCTTGCTGCCTACCCGGCCAAGTGTGACAGGCGATGTACTGTAAATTACAAAGTGCAAAATAATGCAATAAGATTAGGAAATGACCTAGGGTGGGCAGTAAAGGGACTGAGATAGTGCTTGGAGAGGGAGAACAAAAGGTGGGAACCCGCCCTTTAACATTTAAACCTTCCAAGAGGCCTGTAGAACATCTCTGCAATGTTTTCAGTGGCCATGAGATCTACAAAAGAATTCTTCTCCTTGGGAAAATTAAGCAGATGGTATCCTATCCAGTTGTTGCCATGTTATATAGCAGTGATGGCTAACCTTTTCGTTGTCGCGTGCCAAAAGGATGCGCGTGCAAGGGCGCACACTTATGTGCCTACACCCATAATGCACTGCACGCATGACCTCCCCCTCCCCCAGCACCTGCAAGTGTGACCCCCTCGTGCACATGCTGCATGCCTCTGCACATGTGTGCACATCTCACGCATGTGCACAGTCCCCCCGCACATGCGTGGCAGATACCCAACAATCAGCTGGCTGGTGGGAGGCACGCCCACATGCACAGTGCACCTGATCTGGGGCGACGGCTCATGTGCTGGCAGAAATGGCTCTGCCTGCCACTTCCAGCATGCATGCCATAGGTTCACCATCGTGGTTATATAGAGACTCACCGTTATGTAGACATTGTAGAAGAGCCACGTTAGTCTGTGGTAGTGAAAAATGGAGTCTAGGTAGCCTTTTTTAAAAATTACAATAATACATTTTATTAAAAGGCATTTCATGAGCTCACTTCATCGGATGCATGGAGTAATTCATAAATATAAGGAAATTATCGTCTGATGCTACTAAATGTTTGTCTTTGTAAAACAGCAGTCCCCAATTTTTTTGGCACCAGAGGCAGGTTTTGTGGAAGGCAGCTTTCCCATAGACTGTGGAAGAGGGAAAAGGCATATACAACCTTAGATCCCTTGTGTGCACAGTTTTGCTCGGCTGCTGCTCACCTCCAGCCGTGCGGCCCGGTTCCTAACAGGCCACGGATGGGTATCGGTCCATGGCCTGGGAGTTGGGGACCCCTGCTGTAAAACATACAACCAGCCAAAATTAACAGTTCTGACAGACCTGAGTCTCTCCTAAGCTGGAAAGGCTTTCTTGCAGCTATATATTTAAACTTTCCTAAGCAGACAGACAGTAAAGGCTTTTATTAGGAGATACTACATAGTATACATTTGATTTGTTCGTTCGTTCATTCATTCATTCATTCATTCATTCGTTCATTCATTCATTCTTGACCCAGCGTGAACAGCAAGGCGTACAGCAGCCATGATTCAGATTCAAATGTATCTTTTTAAAATGTTCATATGATACCCACCAAGTTTGTTTCTAGAGTGTTGGCTCACACAGACTGTGAGTTGAAATCTCTGGTTAACCACATAGTTCAGTGAACGAATTTGACCCTGTCCCAATTTCTCCATCCCTCTGCCATACAGGGTTACGGATCACACCAGAGCACTCAAGATTTGTTGCCCTGCCTTGGGATACATTAGTACCTAACACTGGATTATTGTATGCCTTGCTCAAAACGCACATAGTGTGTGCTCCAGTTGTCATCTTTGTGGATTAGAACAGAGTTCCTCTTCTATGTTGTGTTCTAGATTATTATCTGGAGGTTTTTTGTTTCTGGCAGAGCTGTCAAACCTTACAATGCAAGGATATACAAGAGCACAGTGTTTCTCATTGTAAAAGGAAAAGAAATGACAGAGAGTGAGCAAATTTGTACAAGTAGTCCTTGACTTATGACCACAATTGAGCCCCAAATTTATGTTGTTTAGTGAGACATTTGTTAAGTGAATTTTGCCCCATTTTACAACTTTTCTTGCCACAATTGTTAAATGAATTGCTGCAGTTGTTAAGTTAATAACAAGGTTGTTAAGTGAATCGGGCTTCTCCATTGATTATGCTTGTCAGAAGGTTGCAAAAGGTGATCATATGACCTCAGGGCCCGTGGTGGGATTCCATTTTTTTTTACTACTGGTTCTGGGGGTGTGACTTGGTGGGTGTGACTTGGTGGGCGTGGCTTGGTGGGAGTGGCAGGGGAAGGATACTGCAAAATCCCATTCCCTCCCC